TAGACCCACAGGGTGTAGCACAGACCACCCTTCAATACTGAGCATAAATAAAAAATGTCTGCATCAAGCTCACTGTAACACACTGCTGTAAGAGTATAACCAGGAAGCGAGGTAGGAGGGCAAAATAGGTTTAGCGCCACCGCAGCACGGGAGGGAGAATTACGCCCAGGAGCAACTGGATAAAAATAGACCGGAGGAAAAAAAAAACATGATTCGATGCATCGGATCGTCGGCTGTTGGATCGATGCATCGATACAAAACAATTATTATTTACACCCCTAATACTGACTATGCAATGTGATGGGCCAATTTTTTTGTTCTAAGTTAAAGTAATCTACTGATGCTATGAAACAGCCAGTCTTTATTTTAAAAGTATTAAGGCTCCCTGAAAATGAGAACATCATCTTTGTTTGATGCTATAGCGCACAGATTGTTTACATTGTGACCGGTCTAAGTAGGGAGTACCAATATGGCGGCTGGTGGCTTCACTTCAACAACGGGTTATCAGTGAATAGAGATCAGTAATAGCACCTGGTGTTGCAGTGGTCTGTAAACGGTCATAGTAGCATTCTGTTCCTATTCCTGTAGCTAATGTGATGGGTCACATTTGAACCATTTTTCTCCTTTTCTTTAGGAATATCTTGGTGGATAAACCTAACGATCAGTCCTCCAGGTGGTCTTCTGAAAGCAACTATCCTCCACAGGTAGGCTCACCACGTGACCCAGAGTTATTCATTAATGCTTCATCTGTAAAGAGAAAACTGTAATCAGTACAAAGCGGATGGATTTCAGACCTTCACAATCAGCAGCACAGGCTGATCTTACCGTAACAATATTAATGAGGAACGTTTTCTACAACCAATCAGATTTCAGATTTGCCCCATAGGGCCAGCTAGAGGCCCCGCCCCTACGTCAGCATTTTCTATCCTCTGATTGGTCAGTTAGAGCAAACTGTTTACAGCCAAGTTAAGCTAGCGACAATCAGCATTTTAGATTAGCTTTTTTGGCCTCAATGGCTGATACTAAATGGAGATAGTAAGACCTCCTGCACAAAGACAGAAGGATGGATTTGGTTTCTAAATAATCAGCATCTCTGGGGGGTGGGATATTATTTTTATGCTCTATTTTATCTGGCTATTAGATGCGTAATGAATCTGGACGGTTCCGGATTATGAAAACATGGTGGAGCTGTGATTGTAGAATAGTAATAATGATAATAATTATATTTGCTAATTGATCTCTGTATTCACCCTCAAAATGATCCTTCTCTCAGTTATACCTGCGCTTGTTACATTTCAGATTTGAATACAATTGATGGTTTCTGTTATTAAAATGTGAAAGTGGTAATATTAACCCCTTGACAGACATCATTGCAAATATGCAACAAACATTTTGTATTGCCAAGATAGCATGAGCTTTCCCTCAGTTCTACCAGTGTATGCTATATATTTATATATATATATTATGAGGAGAGCCTCTGCGCTGCGGCGTGGTCACGCACAGAGACAGATTTGACGGTTGCAGAGACTATGCGTCAGAATCATAAATTGGCCTTAAATATGTCCATAAAATGGTATCTTGGGATATGATGGTGAAAGAAAAACCAACTTTAAACAGAGTGGCTGCAAAATGCAGTGATCAGTGCTATCATCGCAGCCCCAACCCCTTTACAGGAGAACAGAAGACCTCGCCTGTTCA